CAGGAGCAAATAAATACAGGAGGTCTAAGTACCTTCCTTCAGTTCTTGTTCTCAGAAGCGAGTTATATACACAGCAGCTTATGAAGAATTTTAGGTCCCAAGAACTCAGGTTACTTTTAGAGAAACTGCTGAAAATTCATTTCTGTTTCACTGCAAATTAAGGGTCTCACAAGTCTGCACTTTCTACATAATCTGTAAAAAATGGAACTTGGGTTCCTGGGCAACTTGGCCAATTCTGAAAATTTTACCCGTGACAGTCTTTTATTCCCCAAAACATTAAACTGCAGAAACCACTCCCAAAACCAAGTCTGGGAAACAAATTTGCAGTTGCTCAGCGTAGCTCAATACTTAGCCTATTGAGTCACCACAATGACCACAGAACGGATGGATTATACGATTTTAATAGGTCAGACACCACTGTTTTTTCCTTTACAATCACACATCCTAAAACAACTAAAAAGTAGTTGAGATAAGTCAGACACGTGTGCCCACACTCTGTTTATTTTGAAAAGTCATCACCTCTTCTCCAGATGAATGTTGTTATAATTGCACCTGACCTTATGCTGCCTCTCCTCAGTCAAGGACAGGGATTGACACACACAGGCAAAGAGCCTGCCAGAATAAGAGACTTACTTCTCTAAACATAGCTTTGTCACTCCTCTATCACCCCAGCAGTTTGTGTGGCCAGGTGAGGAGTGTATCATCCCCTTAACTGTGCCTATCTTTTGCAAATATGATAGAACTAAAGGAATTTAACAACATGTACTTCTGGTTTATAAATTAACACTGATAGGGTCCCTCCTGATTGTTCTTCTGCTATGCAGTTACAGTTTTTAAGACACCAACCCTGACAGTTGCAAATATACAGGCATCTTAATGTGCTGAGTACTGTACAATAGGCCAAGGAGGTTACTGTTAAAATACATGCATAGAAGAAAAAACAAAAAGCATTTTCTTCCTCCTACTCACTTTCTTGACCACATGGACATTTTTTTCTTCCCACCATCACATTTCTCATAAGACAGTATGTTATTGGGCCTTCCCTGAAAATCACTCCATGGAAAACAGTATGGAAGATAAGTGTGAAACTCTGTGAACACAGCATATGGCAAGTATGCCATACTCCAGCTCGCAAACACCACCTGTACTATTTCTGCTCTGCTCCTCACTTCATGTTTTTCTTTCTTCATAACTGAGCACTAACACCTGTTGAGTGGCTTCAGTAGTGCTGAAGAGCACAACCCTTGCTCTATTTCTCCAAGAAAATCAAAGGTGATGGACGACATGAAGTTCTGGCCACAGTGCAGTCAGTAGGATTTTTTGTCTGGACTTCTTTGTGCCAGGATTTCTCACCAGTTTGCAGAGATGACATACTCAAACCTACAGCATTTGAAGTTACCTCAAAAAGAAGGTCCTGCTCCATTTGAAAACCATGCTGGTGACTGCTACCTATTTTGTAAGTGTCCTGGGATAAAGGCCAACAGAGGTTGAACAAGAGTGAGGAAGGTTCAACATCCAGAGAGCACAAGAGGAAGTAACTTCATACAGTAGGCCACAAAGGACTAAAAAAAACGTTCTGTGTTTAACAGCAGGAACTCAGCTTTGCCTCAAGAGGTCTAAGGAGCTGCTTCAAGTGCTCCCCTTTCACATTATACCAGGAATGACCTAGTCCAAACAGGAAACAGCACAACATACTCAATGTTTGTTTTCTTTTCTCTTCTGCTATCAGTATCAGCTGAGCACCACACGAAACTTTTAAGATTGTCTCTGCCCACTCTGTCTATCTCAAAAAATTTGATCCTGAAGGGCCAATAAGCAGCAGGGCAAGGCATGCTGGAGAAAACAAAAGAAGCAGAGTGTAGCTAAGGCTGGGTCTGTAAAAGTGAAAAAGAAAGCCCAGAAATGAATCCAACTGGAATAGGTTCTCCTTGAAAAATCTCAGCCTAGGATCACTGCTGGTGGTTTTTACACTCTGAGCCAGAGTGCAGGAGCCAATTGTGTGACCTAGAGAAACACCCACCCAACAAGCTGGTTTTCTGAAACCACAGCTATGACTTCCCTAATGAGCTGGCTCTGTTGGCTGTCTGGCAAGCGAGGTGTGTGCCCAGGTGGCAGGTGACACAGTGCAGCTGGACAATGGGGAATGGGCAGCCTTTACCAATGTGGTCACTCCATCTCAGGTGATCTCAAAACAACTGATGGACAAAGAAGTGATGTTAATGAAGCAGCAACTGGGTGTTTACCTTATGGCTACTGGTCTGGAGTTGAGGTAGGTATGTTTTACTGGGCGGATGTAGGTATGAAAATGCCACATGGCAGAACACATGAATTTGAAACATAGATCTACAATAAAACCTGAAAGTTTCATGTTTTCCTGCGGTTATGAGCCTGCAAGCCATTCCACACAGGCAAATCTTTGTGTCCTTGATTAACCTCAGCCAATAACTCAAACAGGGCTGTGTCTGATTAAAGTCCACATTTGCAAGCTTCAGAAAATGCTCTGTAGAAAAATGTGGTTGTTGGCCAACCCTGATCGCTGTACATAAGTTACATCTGATAGGAGCAAAATGTGAAAATTTAGACTGAAATTTCCTTACAGACCAGGGCAGCACTATTTTTCTTGTTGATTTTCTTGTTGATTTTGTACTCACTGCCTCGGCATAATTACCCCTTTCTTGTCAATGTCAAAACAGGGGGGAGGAGAGGTTATTTTTCAAAAGACAGGATAAATCCCTTTGCCTCTAACTTTTGAAAACTTTGGTTACCAAGTCACTGTGTCCACACTGAAATGAAGTTGTGATCACAATTCTAGACCTGATCCAACACATACTGAAACCAATGGGAGACTTTCTGTTGACTTAAATGGAAGCTTGGGTCATGCCCTGAGCAGACACTACTGCCCATATAACAAAATCAGCCCTTCTCCAACTTTGGATGGCAGAAAAATTAAAGACTTCTGAGGTCAGAAATTTGTCTACAACAAAAATCTAATATAGGAGAAATCAACAAGCACACCTGTGTGCACTCTGCCTCTTTCTATTGCTACAAACCCAGACAAAACTGCATCCACAGCAGGTATTTATCAAAAATGTAAAAATATAAGATCTTGGAAAAAGACAAAATCTGGCCCACAGTCTAAACTGAAGAGTAATTATTCAATCTTAAAATGAAGTTTTCAAATAAAGTAAACATAAGCTTGAAGTGTAGTACAACTCAGAATCTAGAAAAAACTTGCATCAGGCTTTGTGACACAATTTTATGCTTGTCAAATGTTAAAGTTAACCTAGGACTTGCAGAATAAGGCAACATGAGCACGCCATGGCCAGTGTCAGACTCCATGCTGTATGTCAGCAGACCACCAGCAAAAAGCTCTATGTTGCTTTGAACATTCTTCACGTGGCTCCTATGCAAAAACAGTAATGAAAAAAGCTGACAATGAGGGACAGTTAAGCCTGAAAATGAAACACACAAAACAGTTCTACAAGTGTCAGGGGATTTGGAGAGAAAAGGATCACAGAAGAGCACATGTTTTGGAAAGATTAAAACAATTACTGTGCGATGTTGGTATGAAATTGATTGTCAGGGAAAAAAAACCAGCAGGAAAAAGGAATATTGATCTTTTAACAGGAGAGACCATTAGTTTGGATGACACAGCATTTGTATGACCTTGTCATTACCTTGTCTCAAACATCCCCAGGACGGATGCACTATTATTTGAACAATTCATAGGTGGGAGAGCAGAGGTATGGACAGACCTGCTACTCTCACACTGGCAGGAATGTTTTGACATGTTGTCTGAAAGTGACTGACACTCAGCAGCTGGAAATGTCTCACTCAGGAAGGCCTCTCTAGGCCCATCAATTCTTCCACCCTGAGCTTGGCAGGCTGAGGAAGGAAAAAGAGGCTCTTCTTTAGTCAGCTTTTTTCTACGTTTGTTTTTCAGCAAATCAAGAAACAGACAATGACACAGGGATTTTTTGGGGATTAGTTATGGGCTTAACAGATACATCCTGTATAAACGAAGAACAGGAAGGTCCTGCAGGGTTGAGCAATGGGAATGAATACACTGTACCACAGGTAATGGATGCATCCTGACACCCTGGCGCTTAGGACCAAGCACTGACAAGAACCAAGAAGGCCTAGAGAACTTGTAACTCAAACTTGTTAGCAAATTATTGAGCCAGAACTTCCTCCCTTACCCCATAATGTTACTCACATGTTTGAGTATAACCTATTCATTATACCTCATGATACCCATTATACCACACATTTTTGGATTCGTTTCAAATTCCATTTGAGTAGCGAAACAGCTGGGAGGGGGAGAGTATTTCTGAAGGTAAAAAGCTGACACCGTTGATCATAAATCTCTCAATATATATATATATATATATATATACATACATCTACACGGAGATATATATACAAATATATACACATATATCTACACGGATCCAAGCCACGTTGGTGACAGGTTTCCTAGCGCCAGCTGTGCCTCGCCCCCGCCGGCCCCGACTCACGCAGGGGAGGAGCCGCCGGCACGGCGGGGCCGAGGGAGACCCCCCTTCCCGGCTTGGCATCACCGCACACCCCCCGGGAGGCGCCTCCGGGCTCCCTCCCGACCCTCACCGCCCCGCCCGGCCCGGCCCGGCCCGGCCCCGCCGCAGGTCTCGCCGCCACCTACTTCTTGCAGGGGATGAGTGCCTTCCTCTCCTCCAGGATGCGGAGGCGCTGGTTGGGGCCGTCGTAGGAGACGGCGGCCCGCGTGTTGCGGCCCGAGCCATGCTCGTAGAACACGGTGCGCCCTTCCCACTGCCGCGGCGCCTGGCACGGCTCGGCCCCCGTCCCCGCCGCCGCTCCGCCGCGCAGCAGGAGGACGCCCAGCAGCAGGAGCAGCCGCAGCGGCGGCCCCGGCCCCGGGCGCAGCTGCTGCCCGGCCGCCGGCCGCCCCATGCTCCGCTCCGCTCCGCGCCGCGCCGCCTCGGCGCACGGCCGCCCCGCACACGGCGCGCAGGCGGGCGGGCAGGCTGCGCCGGGGGGCGGGGGCGGCCCGCCTCCAAACCCGCATCACCTCAGAGGCGAGAGGCGCCCGCCACAGGGCCCGGACGCCGGCGGGGCACGAGGCAGCGCGGTGACAGGCGACAGGAACCCTCGCCCTCTCAGGCCTCGTTCCCCTGAGCCGGCAGGGTCTGGGCGCCCTGGCCTTGCCCACTGCTCCGCCAGGGCTGCCCAGGGAGGCGGCTGCGAGCTCCAAGCGCTGGGCACTCTGCGTGAGCTTGGGGAGGGAGGGGATACGTGAACAGGAGTGACCTGCTGGGACAAACGGCTCTAATGTTGCCCTCGATGGGGGCATTTCAGTGCCTCCCCACGGACAGACGGTGTCACCAAGCATTCTTTCACCACATGCATTCCTTCATCTCCCACTGCCCTCTTAGGTGTATCAGCTGTTGTTTCCTGGATGTGCTTTCCTCACCCACTAAGGGAAGGGGAGGCCCGTGCCCCACAGGTGCAGCGTCCCTGCAGCTCTGCTGCATCTGCCGGGGGCAACACCCGTGGCACCACGGTACCCGACCGGGGCAGGTACCCCAGAGCCACGCTACGGCTCTCTCAGGTCACTGGGATAACCTGACACTGGGTTAATCTTCTTATCTCAGCGGGTCCCTCAAAGACTGGGGAGCGGCATTTCCCACAAGGAAGAACGGGCCCGGAGGTCTTTCTGTGCAAGGGGGAACACAGGTGGGCTGTGAGCGGTGAGGGAGCCCTTTGGCCCCGCCACTCCTCTGCACCAGGGGCGCGTGGCCGTGGAACACCAAGGAAAGGAAAATAAAAAAACAGGTTGGGAAAAAGTCTGAAACCCCTTATTCCGCTCGTGTGCAGATGCGATTGGTGGGGAACAGCGGCGGGGAGAGCGGGGCGGCGGAGTGACTGTTCGCACAGCAGCCCCACAGCGGCCCCGCCGCCCGCTCCCGTCTCGGCCCGGCCGCCGCCGCTTCCCCTGTCCTGAGCAAACCGGGCCACAGCCACCACCCCGTCTGTCCGCCCGTGCGCTTCACGCCTTTCCCCGTCCGTGCCGAGCTCATGGAGGGAATTCTGCAACCCCCTGGAGGCGTCGGGAACAGCCGCCGGAACTCCCTCAAGCCCGCAAAAAGTTTCTTGTCCCTTGAGAAAACGCGGCGTGTATAGTTCAGCCCCGCGGGAAGAAGCCGCGGTTCCTACCGTCGCCTTCCCTCTCCCCGCGCCGGAGCGCAGAGCCCCGCGGCAGAACCGTGTGGTTTGGGTTTCCTTCCCTCCCCCTCGCCCCCCTTCCACCTGAAGGAATTTATGACACAGATGAAAACTGAAACGGAGCTGGAGCGGCGGCCGAGAGACGCAGTGATGTCGCCGGGGGATTAAACGGGGTGGAGGTGATGTCACCGTGCCTGCACAGCAAAACGCACACATACACGCACACCCCCCCCACCCCCCGGAGGAGCGGGGCTGCCAAGGGAGCGCGATCGGCCCCACGTCACTCGTGCCACTGGTATAAATGCGGTCCCGCGATGTCCATGGCTGTCGGCGCGGCGGCTCCCGCGACTTGACTGCAGCCGGGCTCCGGGAGGCAGTGCCGCTCCGCGCCCTTCGGCCGCCGGGACCCGCGGGGCGGCGGCGGGCGGCGGCGGACAAGGAGAAGAAGCAGGAGGAAGAGGATGCTGCGCGCCTTGGTGGCGGTGTCCCTGTGGCTGCGGGTGAGCCCGCGGGCGCAGGGCGCGCCGTGCGAGGCGGTGCGCATCCCCATGTGCCGCTCCATGCCCTGGAATATCACCCGCATGCCCAACCACCTCCACCACAGCACCCAGGAAAACGCTGTCCTCGCTATCGAACAGTACGAGGAGCTGGTGGCCACCGGCTGCAGCCCGGTCCTGTCCTTCTTCCTCTGCGCCATGTACGCCCCCATCTGCACCCTGGAGTTCCTCTACGACCCCATCAAGCCGTGCCGCTCCATCTGCCAGCGCGCCCGCGACGGCTGCGAGCCCATCATGCGCCGCTACAACCACAGCTGGCCCGAGAGCCTGGCTTGCGACGACCTCCCCGTCTACGACCGCGGCGTCTGCATCTCCCCCGAGGCCATCGTCACCGACGTGCCGGAGGGTGAGAACCCTGGGGGCAAGCAGCGAGGGGTGGGAGGGAGGACTCCCTCCACCCCAGCGGGACGCCCCGGGCTGGGACGGGGGGGCTGCGGGACCCCCACGCTCCAGTCCTGGAGCCTCTACCGACAGTGTTCACTCCCTGACGCGCCTCTGTTTGCAGATGTGAAGTGGACGGACTTCACACAGGGCTTTATGGTGCCGGACAGACCCCTGGAACCTGACTGCAGGAGCCGTGGCCAGGGTGAGCCTAGGACGATCCCCCGCCTCCACCTCCCTGGAGACAGGGTCCCTCTGAAACCCCTCAACCTTTCTCCCTTCTCTTCCTTTGAAGAGCGGTGCAGGTGCAAAAAGACAAAGCCTACGCTGTCAACCTACTTGGCCAAGAACTACAGCTACAGTAAGTGCATGGGGAAATGCTTCACTTTGCCTGCCCCACATCTTCCTTGTGTCCCTGAAAGTTAGGCAGCTCTGTGTGGGTGCTGAACCCACACGAGGCACCATCCAGCAAGTATGGCATGGGAAGACTGCTCCAACGCAGCCTTTCCAAGTGGGTGTTTGCCAGGGAATACCTAGCTGTCCTCTTCCAAACTCCAGCTGTAGCACACACCATGTGCTTGCAGTAGTAGTAATGGCACAGATGATGGTGTGTTTCTGACAAATGCAGTAAAATGTCAGTAATGTGCACCCTTCTGCTCCACAGAAGGGGTGGTTCCTGCTGCAAAGGTCACTCTAGTAAATAGTAAAAGCAGTTATGCCTGATGTGAGTGTGATGACTTGGCCAGCTCCTGTTCTCATCCCGCAGGTAGAATAAACAGGGGTTTTCTACCCAAATAAAACTCGTAAATGTGAACCAGCTGCAGCAAAGTAAAAAGTTTTTAGAAATTTGTATATGCTTTAACTTATTAGCCTGAGTTCTGGCTGGGGCAGAATTGTCAGAGATTAACTGAATTCAGTGACAATTTGCACCATCCAGCCACGGAGATAGCTGATAGTTTTATTGTTGGGTGACCTATTGGTAACAAAAATTAGTGTTCAGCCCTCTTTCCCCTTGGCTTCCCCCTGCCTCAGCTTTCTGATGGTGTGAGTCAGGAAGAACTTTAATTAAGATTAGATAAATGCCAAATTAAACCTAGTGACAATACAAAGCCCCTATTAACTATGAATTTTTTATGCAGTATTGCTTCATTTTGCACTTTGTGGGTATTTTCTCAATGGCAGTTTTTTTCCCAGTCATTTATCTAGTTCTTCTGCAGGAGGGTTATAATATAGTTTCGCTCCTATTTGTTTGATATCAAATTAAAGCAAGTTTGTAGCTATTTGCTTCTTTGTTAGCATGTTTGGTGTGAATAATCAAGCTGAACCTCTGCTTAGGTAATTGTACAATTTTTGTTCATTATAGCATTTTGGTGCATTTACATGACTTATTCTTTTTATATAATTCTTTGATCTGTGTCAGTACAACATACAGATATGTTTAGGTGGAACAATGATTTTCTGTAGTTTCCTGAAACATGAAAAGTAGTGATATCAAATGTCTGTTCAGAAATGAAATACAGTTGTTACCTGTGTAAATTCTGATTCCACTGGTTTCAGTAGGAGTATTCCTTGAGTAGAACCTGTATGTCAGAGTCCAAAATTTTATTCCATTGAATTTGTGAAATCAAGATTTTGTTTTTGAGATGTAAGTTTTTATTCAGCACCCTGTGAGATAGAATATTTATGTGGAAAGTGAATTGAGGGACAAGATTTAATGAGTTGAAAATCAATCTTTTTTTTTGAAAATCAATCTTTTTTTTTCTGAAAACCTTTAAAATAAGACATACAGCCAAATTGTACTTTCAGTTGTACCAAACAGGCTTGAAAATGGATTGTGAGTCTCCAAAACTGAAATTCCTCACATGTTTTGTGTCCTGATAAAGGTAGCACATAAACCCCAGACTGCATTAACAGTGCTGGTCTCCAGTTTTCCTTGAATGAAGTTTATTCCAAATGTTATGAGGTTCATGTAGAGGCTTTTGAACCTGGCAGGGGCAGACTGATCACCCTGTGGTCTATACACTTCTCACCCTTCTTTCACTGAGGAATTTTTGGACAGTAGAACACTTTCTGTTTTGACGTTTCCTAGAGACAAAATCCTTTATGTAAAAATCATACTTAATTTATTAAATCTGGTATTTCTCACAAGAGAGAAGAGATGAAATGCTGGAGTGGTAGGTGATGCCAGAGTTTTGTAGGTACAAAGCTAGCCCAGGGATCATTTCAGAGCAATCTACAGTGCTTCACCTTCTTGCTTCTGTGCAGACATGCAGTTTTCCTCAATGAAAGGTAAAAATACAAATGATTGTGCATTCACAGTCAGAACAGCCTTTTTCAGTGTCTTGTTTATATAAGGATCTCACTATTGGTAGAGAATCCAAAGGCAAAAGATGAAAAAAGGTATTGCTCAAGTAAATAATGGAAATCCTAAGCCTCTTAGTTTTTTGACTATTGTTTCTAGCCTTCCCTTGTTTCTTATATTATAGAAAAGACTATATTTCGTGGTTACAATCTACAGGAAGTGATTTTGTTATTGGAAAGACAACTGTCTGTGAGGTAAATTATTCATTACTTAATTGGAAATAGCCAGATGTGTCTGGAGAATGGCTTAGATTTATGCAAAGGGTTCTTCAAGTCTGAGTTGAAGGAGCTGTTTGTGTGTGTGATTCCAGGCAAGAATTCAGTTGGCCTGATCTGGCAAAGATTTAAGCACATGTTTAATTTTACAGTTGTCAACAGTCCTACTGAAAACCAAATTGAGATCAGGCCTCTGTTATTCTAAGCCACTGTTCATGCCCACACAGGCAGAAGTAGTTCTAGTTTCACAACAAAAACAGCAGCTTCCAATGCAATCTATTTTATTTAATTTTGAGATGCTTAAATTTCCAAGACTGTTTATTGTTCTCACTCCTCTGTTTTTCTATTTGCAGTCATTCACGCTAAAGTAAAAAGCGTAGAAAGAGGGAACTGCAACGAGATAACCACTGTGGTTGAAGTCAAAGACATACTCAAGTCTTCAACACCAATTCCTCTGTCCCAAGTGCCTCTTCTTACAAATTCCTCCTGCCAGTGCCCACCTCTTCAACCAAAGCAGGATGTTCTCATCATGTGCTATGAGTGGCGCTCAAGGTGAGCCGTGATGTGTTGCAGAAAAGTGTTAGAGCTGGCTGTGAGGGATGGGAAGGTGTACCAGTAAATCTCTCTTCCTCATCACGAGCTTGTTTTAGGATAACTCATACATACATGTACATGTTTCCATTACCTTCACAGCTGACTTTCTCCATTTCATCAGCCTCATCTCTGTGCCATGATGTGTTTACAAAATTTGACTCAAACAAAGAATATAAAATCTGGTGGCATTAGGTGCTGACAGCATACTGATAAAGCATCATGCAGCAGTTCAGTCACCTCCAGCTTGGAAGTGTTTTTCCAGGACCACTTTCCATGGGGATGAGCAGTTTAGTGTGCAACAAGCCCAGTGGTGGCTGTAGATGATGGTCTGTGTTGGCAGGACCACATGGAAGGCATCGTTCTTCCTCACCAGGGGAGTGGGCAGAAGGTGGTACACATCCTCTGTCAGCAGAGCTGCTGGAGTCAGGGCCAGGCCTTCTCCACTGGCCTGTCCATACTTTGGACCAGTGCCATCAACGAGATGTTTCTGATCCCGCAGCCGTACTGGGACCAGCCAAAGCTGCAGCCATTGGAGCTCCAGCTCCCGGATGGCAGATGAAAAGTAAATACTCTCAGAGCAGCTTGCCAGTCCTGCTGTATGATTAAAATTAAAAACAAAACAAAACTAACTTTACCAGACCTTTCATCTGGCAGTCAGCCTAGCCCCAGGCATGGAAGGAAATCCAGCATGCTGGCTTGGATGGGAAGGAGTGATGAATCACAGATCCCTTTTCTCCCTGGTTCCTTGAGGCAGAAGGGGACATCCCATCCACATTAGCACCCCAAGCACACCAGTAGATGCCAGCAGAGCAGGTTGTGGTGTTATGGGTTTTGTGTAGGCCTGTGTGTTGTAGTTGGGAGGCAAGGCTCTCTGTAAAATGTGCAGGCTGGTTTTGCATACTGTGATGTTACTGCTAATTGGCCACACACACTTGTAAGGACCACGGAACATCCACATGTGGGATGTGGTGGGCCATGCCCATATTTTTAATGAGCTTTATGTTGATATTTTGGGAGCATTTTTTAGGTGTCTCTAAAATTTGCCACCTGATATCTTACTACTTTGTCTTGTTTTTGTCTTGTGAGCTAGCAGACACAATCTGGAAGTATTTCACAAATATTAATGTAGAGCCCTGTCTTTGTGTTAGTGATTTTAGGGATACAAGCTCTGACTCATGTAGGAGGACTATGACCAGAACAGCGGTGGAGGAGCTCTGGGTTGCAGAGGATCCTCTGGAGGCTGTTAGGAAAGGGAGATTTCATAAGTCAAAGATCACAATCAGCATCTCCATTATTATGGAAAAAACACGTGATTCACTAAATGTCCTGTGATGGTTTTTAAAGGTCATTGAGGTTTTTAATTTCATATAGTGTACTAAAGTGGATTTGAAAAAGAAACATAAACTATTATATGTGCTTCCTGTTGAACTCAGTGGCAGGAAAACAGAAGGTTTTGAGTTACAGCAGTTTTTTAAAATGACAGAGGCAGAATGAGTGGAAGCTGTACCTCCTCTGCAGTCAATGGCAAAATACCTATTGCCTATTGTTTGGGTTAGAGCCTCGCTGGATAATTTGACCTGAGCAAAGCTGTACCAGATGTACCCCATGTTGTGGTTTCATCCATGGCAGTATGGCCTTGGCATCAATCCTGTTACGTTAGTCGTCTAATTTATCTTTGGAAAGAAATTTACAGCATATTGGTTGATTCTGATTGGTTGATTCTCCAAGGTTTGCACTCACATTAGACCTTTTATGTGTGGTCAAACTGGACGCACAGAGGCTAATGACTACAAGAGGCAGCGTTTTGTTCTGTGTTTGAGCTGCCAAGAGCAGTGATGCTGTTCATAGAACCTGGAGGTCAGGTCCTGCTACACTATTTAACTTTCACCAGCCACAAGGTGTGGCTGTGTGATGTTGTATGCATTTTTAACTATGTCTTGATGTTTCCAGCCAGCACTGGTGTCTAAATACAACCAGAATTTTAGTGGAATTTATATTAGGGCATGTTGAGGCCTGGTATCTCAACCAACCAACCAACCAACCAACCAACCAACTAAAAAAACCCCAAAAGTTCTCACTGGGCTGGAATGTGGAAGGTGTGACATAAGACTGCTTTAGAATAAGTTGCTTTAGGAGCTGTTTAAGGCATATATATTTAATAGTCACATTTTTGGTTTGTTCATTTCATAACAACTAGACTCAGTGTTTTCATGCAGGAGCTAGCCAGATTTCACTGGTAGGCAAGTATGGCAAGTATCACTAATCATACATCTTCCAAATTCACCTTAAAGGACTCATTAAAGAGTTAGATGTAGGAAACACATACTGCCGTCCTCATGTATTTATAGGTAGAAAGGGATGCAATTGTAAGTGATCATATAATTATATTACTGTTTTTCAGCTATGCTGTATTAGCTGGTGCGTGTGAAACAGCTTCTTTTTTAAAGTCAGAAGTAAAATGCATCAGTTGAATCTACTCTTCACACAAACACACAGAGAAACATATGGTATCCCATCATCCCATCCATAAAACCTGTCAGTACCAGTACCTATGGGTGCACTTCAACCCCAATCTGTATTAAATCATCTGGAATGACATCTCAGGAATTAAAATTATAAATATCTATAATTTGTGTGTATTTCTTAATTTCAGGTTGATGCTTCTTGATGGGTGTCTAGTTGAAAAATGGAAGGACCAACTAAACAGAAGATTTAAGGTAAATACAAAAAGAAAAGAATGCTGAGGTTCTTGATAAAAAGTTAAACACCTTTGTTTCACTTCAGTATTGATTAACTTTGATGACTTTCAGATATCTGTAACTCCACTGGGTGTCATTATTCTCACTTGAACATTTTCAGCCCTCATAGTTACCCAAATATAAGTGAAAATTTGAATACTTTAATCTTGTGGTTTAGGGTCTCTAAAATTTTTTTTCTCTTTAATTTTACCCTGTGGGAGGATCTTTGTATGAACTGTGGTTTCTTACAGTGATGTCTCTAGGAATTTCTTTCATTTCCCTGCTACCACAAGGAGTGAAGATATGAAAGTGAAGGTGATATGCAGATGAGTGCATAGCCCACATTAGTTGAGAAAGGAAGTTAAAATCCTCTGCACTGGTAATGGTTTTTTGCTGCATTAAAGATTACAGGCTAGAGACACACACTTCTCACCAAGTACTCCCTACTAAGACCCGCTCAAGGGATTGGGCATAGTCTCTCTGGATTCAGGAAACACTGGGAGGAAAAGACTTTAGTATAGAGACATGGGTGGCAGGCACAGGAGATGCCCCTGCTTTTTGTGGCTTCAGGATAGCACTTGATATCACTCTCTGCTTGTAAACTCCTCTTTTTAATGTAAAGGAAGGATGCATTGAGAGAAGGTCTGATTCTTCCTCCCAGTTTTAAACATGGAAGAAAATTATTTTTGGAATTTAGAAAGGTTTTCAGAGCATTAAGGACATACCTGTATATTTAAGGATATACATGTGTGTTTTAATTGAGTTGATTGGCAGTTGATAGAGAGGAGGAAAAGAGATGTAGGAATCCATAAGAAAAAGCTTTTAGATTACAAACCAGCTTCTTTCAGGAAATTGCATTCAATGCTTCTCTCCTACCCTCTTCCCTTACTCATTTGAAACCTATGTGTGGAAAAGAAAACATACTTTAAATCTTTAAAAAATAAATACATGGCAGTTGCAGAGGATGCCATGTGGGATTTAGAAGAATATTGACATATGACTTGGATTCCTGAAATCCTTTAGCTGTCAACTTAATGGCCTGTTGCTGGCGCACATTGTGTTTTAGTCACCTCCTCACACTGTTTTGTCATTTCTAATTGTGTCTTGAATCATGTTTGGGCATTAGTTTTCAGATTGTCAAACAGATGCATGACTGCCAAAAAAAATGTCCTTCAAAGCACATGTAATTTCCTCTCATATTAATAGTTTCAGAAACTAAATCCTCATTTAAACATACTTGAGTGGGATACAACTAAATGTCTGCTGATGGTTTTGGTTTTATAAACATGAATAAAATAACTCTGACCACACAGAGCCGGTATGAATCTAGGTATCACAGTGGCTTCATTTTAATGCCCATCATTCATCTCTGAAAATTTGCATCCACATTTTGTGTAGAGTTACCACTTACAATGGATGTTTTGAACTGTCTGTCAACCACAGAAGACTGTTGTTAACATAACCACAACATTGCTGGTCTTTTTCTGTAGCCAGGACAAGAGTCTGAGCTGCAACAAAGTCAGGGCAGAGATATTGAATAGGCAAGCTGGAGAACATTTCTCTTGCTCTCATCACTGGGTAAATCTGCTGCCTTTAGCAATTGCAGAAGGGAAAGATAACAGAGGGGAGAGGTGAGATAATTTCTGGGTTCTACTGCCTATGTTGTTTTCCTTAAAGTAGGTATTTCTGTTCCTAGAGGTGAAAGTCTGCAGCCTCTGTTGCTGTTTTATGGATCCCTCCATGTTTTGGAGAGTTGACCAGTCAAACTTAACTGTAAAAACCTATTTTGTAACTACTGCATTATTGGATATGAAAATCTGACAGCTGTTATCAGTGCTTTTCAAAATTTCTTGGGGATGCTGCTGAACAAAGCTGCAAGTGCATTATTCAAACCATGCTATTGCAACTCTCAACACTGTGGTTTCACTGTGATCATTGCTATTGTCTGTCCATAGCATAAGCTTGTTCCTGCCCAGTCCTTTTCATCCCAGGCAAAAGCAGAAGCAGAAAGTAGATGCTAGCTCCCCTTGTGACTGTGTGCATAAATGCATATTGTGAATGGATGGTTTGATTCCTGTAGACTTTTCTGAGGAAAAGTCAAGTAGCACATCCAGCAGGACAGCAAGGAAGGGCCTTACGAAGGAGCTCCAATGTGCTGGTCCTGACTTTTTGATGGCATGATGCCAGCTCCCCTCTATTTCTGAGAGGGCACTCACGTGCAGCATGCACATGAGATGGGCAATTGTCATTTCCATCAACTGGTGTCCCTCTAACCTAGAACACACTCCCTGCAGATAGCCATTACATGCTGACATCAATGGCCTTGCCATATAGAGCATGAGGCTGTTAAAGGTAGCACTAGCATCAGTGGTTCTGGATAGCTTTGATTAGGATGTAATTATTTGTGATTATGTCCTTCCCTAACTCTTCCTCTTTGTCTTCTGTGTTTCTACAGCGGTGGGAACAGAGACTGCAAGAACAGAAGCGGCGAACTGCGCGCAGTAAGAGCCAGAATTCGGGACGCAGTGGTCAGAGTGGAGCCCTGAAACCGCAAACCAAGAACACCAACCCACTGATCAGTGGCCCCAAAAAGGCCATTAAAACAAGAAATGGCCAGAAAGAAATCAACCCCAAAAAAGTATGAGTGTGAAATTCCTGAACGAAGGACTTTCCCTGCACGACAAGGGTCACAATCTGGCTTGGTCAGCATGTTTTAGTAATCTGGAACTCATCGACTTAAAAAATTATGTAATTTTCTACATAGACCTCTTTGCTGCACTTTACTGTTACAAGGTTTGCTTATCCTTTTAAGTCACTGCAAGCCATAGAGCATAGGTTTGCACTAATATGAGGTAGGCATATTCCAGCTGACTGAGCTTTATCTTTGGGCTCTGATTTCCCATCTAGACAGAACTAGCCTTGGCTGCCAGAGGTTTTTACTCCTTGTACCAGTGGCCTGGTCTGTTTCCCTGCCAGATGTTGGAGAGCTGCGTGGAGTTTCTCTCTCTCCTCAGCTGGTGTAGTAGCTGGTGAGTTAGTCTGTGAGTTAGTCTGTGAGTCAGCTGAGAGCTCATTAGACCAGGCAGCTGAGGAGCAGCAGAAGGATGGTAACCTCTGGCAGATATCTCAGGCAGCAATGACTGCAGCTGCTGGAGCTGAACATATCTGCTATTTGGAATCACAGCCCTTGTTCAGAGTGTTCAAAAGCATAGTTTACCATTAAGCATCTGGGTATGCATTATGTGATTATTTTTATGAGTGTGCCAAAAATATGCTTATAGTGATATTATTTGATCTTGTGGGTTTGTGTAGTAAAAAATGCATTCAAAGCAGACATTTAATTTTTTAAATTGTACTTCAGGCTGGCTTCTGTTGTTCTAATTTCAAATATATTTAAACATCTAATTGAGAAATCTGTATTTTTTTTAAAGGACCAATTAAAGTGAACAGATCTGTAGAATTCTTAAAAGTAGCACATTTGCTGTAATATTGCTTTGCTATGAAAACTGGAATAGAAACTTTATTCTAAAGATAACTGACAGCTACTGTACAGTATTAAGGAGAAGATAGGGCTTCAAGTGGCTCAGTAATCATTTGGATAACTTTTTATCATTTGATACAATATTTCTAACCTTTCTCTGAGATTAAATAAATAAATAAATAAATAAATAAATCAGCTTTGTCCCTATTACTGAGCTTCTCAAAGCAACTGGCTATCTGCATTTTTTCTTATCAGAAAGTAACATTTACTCTGAAAAGAGTGACAGGAAAACAGATTCTTTTATCTATGTGTTAAGTTTACTGGCTTAAAATTTTCTGTATGAAGTATTAGAACAACAATGGTGATACAAATCTAATCAATATAACTCCAAGGTGGCATTTGTGCTATTCCTTCTGAGGTATACTTCAATGAGGCAGCATAGATAATACATTCTGATTTCATTTTCATGTAACACACAAGAAGATCACCAACATTAAGATCAGAAGAGCTCATGATAGATGCCTGAAAGGCCTTCCAGATTTCCTGCAGGAAGACTAAAAACTTGTCAATTCTGGTAAAATGAGGATTTTTAAAACAGAGCAGTTCTACATCAGAAAAAAAAAGAGGAGTTCTGTGTTGATTATCATAAGAAATAACAATTGGTCATACCAGTATGTTGATCTTTGCCATGACAAAATTTCCAATGAAATTTGCATGTGTGAAATTCACAGCAAAACATGCTGGAGTTATTCTGGTAGCAGAATCATACTTGGGAATTTGCTAACGCGAATCTGGGACATAGATGCCAAGTTACAATGTTTAAGACAGACAGACACAGGTGTTACAAGAAAATGGAATAATAGCACATAGAATAATTTGAAAACAGACTACAAACTTAGGTGCTTAAATACAGCCTATAGGTGGAACCTTAATCATGTTCATTGGAATGGAAAAACTGAAATGGAAATCAAAGGAGACAGAATTTCACTTGCAGATGACTAATTCAGGTTTGAAAATGCTGACTTAAGTAAGCATGATCTAAAAGGTTGGAAAACTTTTAAAATAGTTTTATGTACTGTGTAGCAGGAATTCTTAAGTTTTGATTACCTATTGATCCCATTTTCAAGTACCCCAATAAATGTGTATATGGTTAGCCATTAAAGAATGAGTGACAGTCACATCAATGTGATGTTGAAATAACAAATACTGAATGATATATCACTTCAAGAAATTTTATTGTGAAAATTGTCAAATGTGGTGTTTGTTAAATGAAATTTTTGGAACAGCTACCTAGACTCCACAGCAACATCACATATTATTTTACAACTGTTAGAATCAAACTTATTTTTTCGTTTTGTCAGAGGAAAAAATGTACAAATTATTTTCTCCAGAGAATTCCTTCTCCAAGTTGCTGTCATTAGATTGACCATTCCAATACGCTGGAATAGACATGGATGCACCAAGCCAGGTGTTTCCAAACTCCTTAACATTTATGTGTATACTTTATGCTGACTAACTTTCAACCTAATATGGTAAAAATATATAAGAATGAAAGGCAATACAACAAAAAGCAGGGATATCACAATACAAAGAACAGACATACAAGGGATAAATTAATAATGGTTTTTCCAAAACCATTTTTTCCTATATTTTAAGAAGCTACAGGGGTCAACTCAATTGAGCACTAATGCAAATCATTCAGTTTTGAAAATCCCCTGATTATTAACTCCCTGTGAAGTTTTCAATTGCCAGCTGAATCCAGACCCAGAACATCCGCA